AAAAAAAAAAAAAAAAATCACATTCCTGTTTTATGAGCAGTGGTGCCCTGATTGACAAACTGTACGGTCCTCACCAACGACACTTCTGTCAATATTGTGTTTTAGGTGATATTGGAGGTCATCTTTTGCCCCACCTATGATACATCATGTACAAACTACTAAAATGTATGTGTTTAAACCTTAACATATTTTTTTTATTTTGCACTGAAGTTTGGGTCCCATAACATGCATGCAACCCTGTTACCGAAACCCAATAAACAATGAAATACGCATCACTTTAATTTTTATTTTCATCAGACAGACATAAAATTTGATACCTAAATTCCTAAAAATCTGTAATTGAGATTCAATAATCACACAAGCACACATATATCCACCATAGCATCACAATACAAGAATATAAACCAAGCAGCAAAGCATCAGTTGTTTTGCGCACAGAACATTTATATAATACTGTGCACTTAGTATTCACTGTACACTTCATATACAATGGACCAGGTGTGGCTGGTAATTGCAAGAACACCGGTGAAATGATAAAGTCAGCTATGTGTGAGGAAGCAGTAATTGCACAATTAGCCCACGAAAATACATATGATCAAGGACCTTTAGTGATCGTTTAATGAGCAAAACCTTTCACTTAGTGTTTGATCAGGCTCAAAAAGCGACGCAACAAATAGTCTTAGAATAACAGAGCAAACCATTTCAGACGTTAATTAGGGATCGCACTGACATTTGAATCAACGGTGACAATTACATGACTCACACAGTGCATGTAAATACAGGTAAATACAGACTTGTCATGATTTAGCATCCACAGAAATAAGAGACATCAGGCACTACACTGCAATGCACAGCAACAACAGAATAATTTTCTCTCTTGGATCCTTTTTTCTCCCAGCAAAATTCTACATTTAAAACCATTTGTTGCATGAACTAGCATTATAGTAGATAATATCTGTTAATATTTGATTTTAAGACGGATGGTCATGGATTATTTCATAGGAAACAATCAGCAGTTGATTTAAAATATTTCTGGAGGGTTCTTCAATAATCTCTTCTATAATTCTTGGTTTTGTTATATTAGTATTTA